GTCCAGCTCGGCTTTTAGTGACCTAGTGGCATGATCATCTTGCCGGCAGCCACCACCTTGACCTATTGATTAATCGGCCTTCCATGGGGGGTAGCGTTGCTTCGGAAGAAGGATCATCATCATCGTCACCATCATCATCATCATCATCATCATCATCATCATCGTCATCGTCATCGTCATCGCCATCGTCATCATCGACATCGTCATCGTCATCGTCATTCTCGTTATCATTATTGCCATTATCATCATCATCATCATCGTCATCATCATCATCACCCTCATCATCACCATCAACTTCACCGTCACTGTCATCATCATCATCTTCATCATCTTTATCATCATCACTATTATCATTATCATCGTCATCATCATCACGTCATCATCATCATCATCATCAGCGTCATCGTCGTCGTCATCGTCATCGTCATCGTCATTGTCGTCATCGTCATCACCATCGCCATCGCCACCATTCATCGTCATCATCATCATCACCATCACCATCACCATCACCATCACCATCACCATCACCATCACCATCATCATCATCATCATCATCATCATCATCATCATCATCATCATCATCATCATCATCATCATCATCATTATCATTGTCATCATCACTATCACCATCACCTCGCCGTCGTCGTCGTCTTCGTCGTCGTCGGCGTCGGCCTCTTCCTCGGCGTCTTCGTCGATTCGTCGGCGTTTTTGTCGCGATCGTCGTCGTCTTCGTTGTCGTGGTCGTTGTCGAGATTATTGTCCTCGGTGTCGTTGTCGGCGTTGTCTTGGGTGTTTCTTGTCGTCGTCGGCGTCGGCGTCGGCGTCGGCGTCGGCGTCGGCGTTGGACACCAGGCGCGCTCCCGTGGTCATCGTCGGCGTCGGAGGGGGAGCAAGGGGGAGGAGGATTGGGGGTAGACGGAGGGATGGAGGGAGTGGGGAGGGAGGGAGGGAGGCCATGTGAAGCCAATTTTATCTGCCATTCTGACGATGGCACGCGAAAAGGATCGTGCTCAGCAGCCGCCTGGGTTGTAGAGGCAAGCGTTGTCCGAGACAGTCGCCGGCACATGTTCCCATTAGCATTCCGCGGCATTTACTTCAGTACCTCGAGGATAGCCTCGAACCTCGAGCTTCGAGGATCTAGGTTGAAGGCTTTCTCGCCCTCGGAGGCCCTCCTCGTCGCAGCGGCTGGACGCGGCAGAAAAATCCAAGATGCGGCAGCCGGATGCCCGAGGAATGACCCGACAGCAACCGATTGGGTTTACGATGACGAAGACGATGACGATGACAGGGGGAATTCTGTACGAAAAGGTCGTTTTGAACAGAATTTCCCCTGCGGAATTTTCCACGGGGTGAGATGCTGGCGGCGATGGTGACGATATCGACGACGATGGCGATGACGACGACGATGAAGATGATAGCGACGAAGACGATGACGGTGGCGATGACGACGTCGACGATGACGAAGACGACGGCCACGACGATGGCGATGTCGCTCGTGATGACGAGGACGACAATTACGATGACAATCATGATGATGACGAAATTGATGGCGAGTATGACGTGACGAGGAAGGGGAATGACATCAGGAGTTGAATGAGGTGGAGGAGGATGAGGGGGGGGAAGGGGAATCTGACGATTACGACAAGTATGACAGTCTGGCATGGCGACGACGACAACGCTGGTTGCGATGATGGCGATGATGCTGATGATGGCGACGATGATGATGATGATGCTGATTTTGACGATGATGATGATACTGGTGATGATTATGATGCTGACGATGATGATGATGATGATGATGATGATGATGATGATGATGATGATGATGATGATGATGATGATGACGATGACGATGATGATGATGATGATGATGATGATGATGATGATGATGATGATGGTGATGATGGTGATGATGATGATGATGATGATGATGATGATGATGATGATGCTGATGCCGACGGTGGTGATGACAATGACGATGCCGACGATAACGACGGTGGCGACGATCATTATGATGGAGATTGTGATGTTGACGATGACGATGGCGATGACGAGTGCAGGGGGAAATTCTGTGCAAAAAGATAGTTTTGTACAGAATTTCACCTTGTGTGGTTTTCGACGGGTTCGGAGATCGCGGTGCGAGGGTTTAGGTTAGGTTTCGTCTAGGGTCGATCTTCGAGGACGAAGGGTCATCGAGAAGCGAGAATTGAGGTGTTGGCCAAGATCTAATTAGACACGAGGTTTTGGATCGAGGATCCAGTTCCGATGATCAGGTTTTGGGCGATGCTCGAAGGACGACGACCCGAGTGTTGAAGAGGATCGACGCTCGAGGCCTCGCTTTAGCGGGGATCCCGAGGCCAGGGGGAAAGTCTGTACAAGCTTGGGTGGGATGCCTGCAGTCCCATGCAGATTAACTGCGACATGGCGTAACTAGGGTCGCCGAGGAAAACTGAGGTCAACTGAGGTAAAAAGGAAACTAGGTGTAACTGGGGTTAACTAG